TTAAACAGTTTTAATGCATTTATCTTATTAACTATACATGATATATAGTTTTAATTAATAATTGTATCACATAGAACGGTTGATTCAATTGCTTTTTCAAACAATTTTCAGGTGTTTTGACGTGTTTACAATATTTTACCAATAGGTGGCGCTGTACAACTTTTGTATTATTTGTATTATGCTTTGTATTATACACTGTATAATACAAGGAATAATACAATTGTATAATACAAATTTTGTATATTGCCAACCCTAGTATTGACTGACTCTATGGCCATAACTGTAGTGTTATTTTCATTTATTAACTCAATTCTTCAAATGGCTTTCAATTTAATGAAACTCTTTTCCATTACTTCTCCAGACTTTATAACGTCTACTGTATTAACAAATCAAAGATTTTCCTCAAAGCAAACAAAACACACAAATAATGCAATGAAAAAGTTGTGCAAACAGTTTGGCTATTAATAAATTATTTCCAGAATATTGTTGTTATTATAATTAGCTATTTATTGGCAAAACAAACAATAGATTGAAAATAACTTCAGACCATAAATAATAATCAATTCAATACATGAGAACTCATAGCAAATACATAATGTATAAAATAAAGTCCTTATATAATAGTGTTTGAGATTTACTACTCGTCTAAATGGTGTCCCAAATCAACGCACGTATTGTCCATAATATCGACGGATTTTATTCTCCGACTATTTTTACTTTGGGATAAAATACGAGATTTCATTTGTGATGAATTGTGGCACTAATGCCCTCGTCTTCATAACACTATGTCTATCAGTACTGACCACTCATTCATCCAACAAATTGCCACAAAAATTCTCACAATTTTCTCTTCAATTCCCTAAAGTTTATTGAAAATGAATTTTGGTTTTTGTCAATAAATTGTAGAATTGAAGTCATAATAATAATGCATTCTTTACAGGTAACTACAGTATGACTCGGCTATAAAAAACATGATTATAAAAGCAACCTGGTTATAAAGAACAGAATAAATTTTTGGAAAGGGGCAGGTGAATTGTGAAAACAGTGTATGTTAATTTAATTAAATAATACTTTTGTTTTATAATTAATAACTATATAACTACTTTAACATAAAATATTTATAAAATAACTATTAAACTATGAAATTTACATATCGTATAACCGGATGTTATTAAATATTTTACAAATACAATGAGTTAATACACATTAATTTCAATACGAGTAGTCAGAGTGACAGCAATCAGTGTTATATAACATGATAATCAAGTAATGCGTGGCAACTCTTATCATCACTCAATAAATTAGTCGACATTAAAGTCATAATTTGCGGTACAATTAATGTATAACTAATTTTAAATAAAATTTATAATTCAAGATTGTGTTCATTAAGATCGATTCGAAACTATGGGCAATTCTATTGGTAATGTTAAGTCTATGACTAATTCTTAATGTCAAGGCTGGGCAACCCCTATGCCATTTCTATAGATTAAAGATAGTTGTATCGAGACAAATTAAATTACAATATACAGTAATTATATCAATATTAATGAATAATATAATGATTTTTAGCAGCAAAAATAATGTACCATGATTCTCGTTGTGACGCCCCCATTGAAGTGGTGATACCGCCGAGTGTTAAGACCATAAGAAATCTTAAATTATTTTTATCGGCCAATAATTTGATGAATAACAACACGGATTCATTGCTCATCAAAGAGTCGGGAAAATCAAGCTGCTATTTAGATGATAAGTCATTGAGCGAGTTGGCTCAGCAAAGTATTATCTACATTTGTCCCACAGCCAAATCATCAAGGTGTGTATTTTTAACGTTTTGTTTAATATTTAATTTATAAAATATTTAAATATAGTGTAACCCAAGAGTTGGAGCAAAAGATCACTCAATTAATTGAAGAGGTGTCGGCACTAAAGACGAAGGAGTAGTGTAGCAAAGCTTACTTCACTTACTTTTCAATTTTAAATTACAAATACTGTGTATAATATTACAGTACATGTTAATTCTGATTTGAAACTTATGTTATAAATTATGTAGTTTAGATAATTAACAATTTATCTATCACTTTAAAATATTGCTGTTCAATCTAGTACAGCGGCTGTACTTAGTGTAACCACATGTTCAATTAAAATATCTAAATTGAATAGAAACCGTGTATTATGCATTTCTGACACATGCATATTTGCATTGAAAAGCATTACAAGAGTAGGTTATCTTAAACATGTGTAGATCAGGCATTTGTAAACCAATTTTAATAAACTCGGCTGTTTTCAATTAATTAAAAGTTGTATTTTATATTCGTGTACTCAGTATTTAAGTTTTCCTAAATATTTAGAATTTAAACCAGAATATTCCACTTTGTTGAACAATTTATATTTTTGTGAATTTTTCAATGTAATCCTATGGAAAAAATTAACATAGTAATAAAATTACAGAGGAAAGTATGGTTATGAAAAATTAAATA